TATTTTAATATTACCTGCATTAAAAGTGCATTTGTATAATTCAAAATATATATATATATATGTATTAGCCCACCCTATTATATAAATGGTTAACGTAAAAAATAGCCGGGAATCATCACAGGATGAATAAGACGGCGTGCCGCCTCACCGCCCTGCATTATTTTCTTGTTCATAATCACATATTCCACTCTCCGAAGATCTTATAATACTGTTATTTATTCCGCTGTTTAAACGGTCGCTAATTGGTGTAGTAATCCAGTAATAGGTGGTAGTTTGCAGTATTAAAAAAATAATTGAGATGTACCAACTTTGTATCAATGACGTAAATAAGAATTTATGGATAGGTACTATGTAATGTTGATTAAAAGTCAAATTATAAACATAAACTTTATTACACTTATCAAGCAATGAACAAGCCAGTTAATATTTATTAACTATATGCACGCATGAAGGAAAAATTATTAAAATAATATATTGAAAACGGTTTTAAAGAAATAGTATACAAATGCAATTAACAGAATAATAACAATCGTTATGACAGAGTAATGGTAAATTTTAAGTCTTCTGTAGTGAGCTTTGCCTTCTTCGAGGGTGTCCATGGGATCTTTGAATATATACAGTCTGACCCCCCTGATGCAAACTTCGAAATAGTCCTTCCAATTTAATAGCTTCATGCTGAATGGAAATACAGTCTTGTCTTCGGCATTGAGCTTTTTCCACAAGTTCTTGGTGTTTTCGTTCTCGAATTTCCACTGGCGTGTAGTAAAATACTGGAGAACGTCGCAAAATTTATGGATTTTTTTATAGGTCTTCACTAATCTAAAAATAAATTTGTAAAAAGCATCCAAAACTAGAATCAAAAAAGAATAATTACCATGTTTCACTACTTGGTGAAAGTTAAAAAATTAAATACCTTCTATCAATGAAAATTGTTAGGCAAAATAAACTAACTATTTATTTCACTACAGGGTGGAATAGTTTTGAAAAAAAAAAACTTTTGGGTGTTTCATTCCCACCAGCCAGTAATGCTGGTGGGCGGGCAGTCCCTCCGGACTATGCCGGAAGATAGGGCGGAAGGCCATCTTCAGCCCGCTTTCAGGAATCGTGGGAATGGGTGGGTGGTGGTTCGGGTGAGAAAGATGAGACGGACGAAATGAAGACAGAAGAGAGTGAAAGATTATCTGTGGAATATTACT